CGTGGAAATTCAAATTAACTCAAAACAATTAGTAAAAAAGTTTGCATGCCATGTTCTGACATTTTTCAAAAACAGATTCGCTTAAGCCATAATGTGGGTTTAGCCACTTTGCTTTCGAAAAAGCAAAGAAAGTTTAGAAAATCAAAAGTATTTTTGTAACAAATAAAAAAAACTATTTTGAAACTGGAAATAAATATTACTGATTCAAGAAGATGTACATAACCAGTTGCAGCAAAAATTTTTTTTTGATTCGTGGCTTACGCTACTCTGTTTCTGAGCCCCTCATATTATGTAAGCAATTTCTTCAACGAGTGCTTTCTAATAATTACTGAATTTCAAATGTACTAACTAGGAGATAATTTGCATGTATAATTTTAAATATGCGTACAAAGCAACTAACATAAGTGAGTAACTATACCATTGCTTAATTTAGAAAATTAACAGAGCAAAATTTTTGTCCAAAGTTACCATAAGTGTTAAATATCAAGCTTATATACCATTGCTTAATTTAGAAAATTAACAGAGCAAAATTTTTGTCCAAAGTTACCATAAGTGTTAAATATCAAGCTTAAACCTTGCATGTATTAAAAGTAAGGAAAAATTTGAAAAACAAAAAAAATTGTGTAATTTTCGTAAAAATCGATTACCTCAAAAGTCGTAACTTTTAACTCATATGCTTTTCAAACAAAAATTTTACATATTTTCAAAGCTCCAAAGTCATGGTTTATTTAGTCATGGTTTAACAGTCTTATTAATGCTCTGTAAATACATACATATATACTTCCACGTTTAAGTCATTTCAAAAATGTGTTATGTACCTATGCATTTTATACAAATATCTCATAGTTTATAAATAAAAAATTTTACAATATGAAAATTGCATATTATTATTAAAATAATAAAGCATAACAATAGTCTTCCAAGCAAAATGCTGAAATTCATTTCTTTCAAAATAACCTTTTTTTTATGTTATATTGGAAAGAAAATTTAATTTGGGCCTGCCTTTTTATTTTAAGTATTTCAATAATCTCTTCCTACTTCGTATTAAACAGAGAAAAATAAACCTGCGTATGTTTCTTTTTTTCTAGTAAGAGCCCGAAAGTTTCTTATGTCCTTACATGCGCTTTGTTTCCCTAATTTGTACGGTTTGTGGGAAAATGTTTTAATAGTTTATCCTATTCTGAAGATTAAAAATTTTCGTTATTTTCTAAACAAAAAATAACTTTTTAAATAGCATTTTTTAAATTACATAATATATATACTTAGATACATATGCTTAAATGCATTTCAATTCCAATGCATATATACGTGTATACATATGTATAAAGTAAGAGCTTATGGTATTTGTGTTGTATGAGAACGCTATTTCAAATGGACTTATTTTGCATTACTTTTTCGATTCAATTTCATCTACAATTGAATTGGAATGAATTTGACAAATACAGTCAGTCCACCCGGCCACATGTATATAAAATCATAAACATATATGTACATAATTGGAATGAATTTGACAAATACAGTCCACCCGGCCACATGGATATAAAATTATAAACATATATGTAGATACATATGTATATGGATGAAATTACAAAAGAAAAAATTAAACATATGTACATTTAAATTTTTATGATAAATTAGATATTACAGAATTATTTAGTTTCATTTTAGGATGTTTTCTTTCATGAAAAGGTAAAAATTCTGCTCTTATTTCTTCAAAATATAAAACAAATCCTTTGCTTTTGAATAAACATATGCATACACACATACATGCATATGTTTATTATAAACATATGTAACGAAAATTATAAACATATGTAACGTAATTATGTTTCGGCAAGTATACTTATGTATGTAAGTATCTCTATTATTCAATATTTACAATGTTTTACTTGCGGGAACATAATACAAAGTATGCACATACGTACATGTATGTATTTAGCTAATGCGACAAGTCGATTAATATAGAATTACCTAAATAATTGCAGCCAGTGCTCGAAGTGAGGCGGGATGGAGTGGGATGCCATCCCAGTACTTTTAAATAATTGGAAATCCATCCTACTAGTTAATGGGAGAGAAAAATGCGTTCCGGAACATGTTTTATAAAATTTCAGAAAATTTTCTAATGAATTTTAAAAATTTTTTTAACAAAAAATTAAATATATGTATGTAATTTTAAATAAGATCAATTTCAAATAGTAACGTATAATTTTTTTCTAATAATGAAATTTTCGTTACTACATAGTAGTCTATGCATTTCTTTGGTAACAATTTGCACAGTTTTTGATTCAATTTTTAGTTGATTTAATTTTGAATATAAATATTCTCGTTAGTTTACTTATAAAGTTTGGTAAATTTTGTTTAGTTTTTTTTTTAAAAAATAACTAAAATAATACATTTTTTTTTTGTTTTCTACCATCCCACCACTTTGAGTATCCCACTTCGACCACTGATTGCAGCGGGAAATATCAAAATTTTTTGATAAAAATGTTTGTTTTTTTGTGAACTTTGGAAAATATAGAAAATAGTGTAGAAAAATTCTCTTAATTTAAATTTTAAAAATTTAATTTTATTTTGAAGTTTTGCATAACGAACATGACCAAAAAACCTTCATTTTGAAGATAAATCTTCGTTTCTGCTTTTATCAATTTTCCATATAGTAGTATGTCGTTCGTTTTTATGAGTATTGAATTTAGTATATCGTTTAATTTTATTTGTATTGCGTAGTATTAATACAGCAACAAATAAGGAAAAATATAAAATGTACATCAATCACCAATGAATATTAAATGAGTAATTTTTTTTAATAATTAAAGAAGAAAATTGGAATTTTTAGTGAACGATGAACGATTCATTTTTGAAGAAGTGAACTAATCAGCTAAGTTCAGTGAAGTGATTCGTTTTTTAAGATTAGTTCGTTCACGAACAATATGACTAATTGTAAGCAAATATTATTGTCAACAAAAATGATATACAAAAAAAAAGAAACAAATTATAAAAATAAGTTTTGAAGAGACGAAATTTACAATAAATTTCATACAACTATAAGATGTGAAATAATACAAAGAAACTTTTAACCAAAATCTGTGTTTTGTTATAAATTATCAAGTTTCATTGGTTGAGTTATTCTTGACATAACCAAGCACAATATGTATGTATCTAGTTATCTACTTTAATAAGTAATTCGACTCTCTGTTTACAATAACAATAATGCAATCACTTACCAATCACAAATTTTTGTAAGAAGTATACATAAATAGGAATATGAAATATATGAATTTTTGAGAGAGAGGAAGAGTAGGCAATGTCTACCTATTTTTTTTATAATGTATTTTTAAAGGCTCGAATTTCCTACTTTTTCGTATGTAAAGTGTAGGGAAAAATATTAAGAATTTTAAAAGGGCGAATTTCCATTCTGTAATTCATTCCAGTACAAGATATCAAAAATTGTATATCATTATAAAAGCGAAGCGATTAAAAAAATTAGTGTTAAAGTAAAAAAGAATAGTTATAATAACTTATATAAAATAATTTTAAAACACTATAAAAATAAATTATACAAAGACTAAAATTATTAAAATTTTATTTAAAATTATAAAAATTTGAAATTTGTGTCTAAAAATTATCAATAAATGGAATAAATATAAATTATGAATTTTTCATTTCTATTTCAATCTTAATTTTTAATAGAACTTGCAAAAACTTTAAAAAGAGAAACAATAACGCAATTTCTCGCAAAAAGAAAAAAATTCTCATTAAAAAAAATAAACCAGACGGAAAAATTTAAAAAGCTTTTAAATACCTTATAAATAGGTAATAAACATCAAAATTAAAAATATTTATCAAACATAAACAAATATTTTTTGGTTAATATGCAAAATCCGAAACTTAGAACAAACCGTTTGGGAATGCATTTTGTTTATTTTATTTTTAACTAAAAAGTTTAAAAAAAAATGATTGTTAATGAAAAAGTTTTTTTTGAAAAATAAAATCTTCTGAGTTAATCAAGAAAAACATATTTTGAAAGCTGTAAGATTTTAAAATTTTTTTAAACACTTTTTTTTGTTAATCAGTGCTGCAAAATAGATTAGATCAAATAAGTATCTTAATTTTTTTAAAATTCAATCTTCATTTTGAAGATTCGATAAATAATAATCTTCATGAACCCTTCGAGATTTTAAACTGACGTTCAAATGAATAAAAAGTTGGGTCAAACCAATTGTTTGTAATTTAGCACTTTTGTCTTCAACAAGTGAAAATACCGCTTTTAAAAACAATCTAGCAATGTACTACATCAATTGCGTGCAAACTTTTGTGTTGTGGGAAATATGTACAGCGTGACTATGAGCAACAAATTAGAAATAGAAAAGGAAGGATCGTCTTGAAAAAACAATGAAACTAAATTTTTTGTAGTAGTTCACTGTCTTTGCTCGGAGCATTGTCAAATCGTGACAAGATCGTATTTATTTTATTTTCTTTTCTGGCTTCTACTATACTGTTATTATATAAAAAAAATCATTTAAAATATTTTTTTGTATGCTATATTTCTAAAACAAAACAAAAACATGTTTTCTTTGGAAAAGTAAAAACTTAATAATATTAGAAATTATGAATTAATCAAAGCGCTTATTTGATAATTGTATAAATATTTCTTTTAATTATTGAAATGAATAATATTCACATGTATATGGCGTAAAAAAACTATTTGTTTTTGCAAATTTACATGACTATTGATAACTGTCTTCGTTTGTTCATTTCAGTAGGAATAAAAAAAGGTAAATATTCAGAGTGGGTGGTATAAATCAATATAACCGAAAGAAAAATAAAAAAATTTCAAACTTCATTAACTAAAACGGAGAACAGATATAAAGAAATGCATATTATTAAAATATGTATATATAAATATTGTTATGGAACTAAAAAAAATTAATAAAATTAAATGTAGTATTATATTGATTAAAGAACCTCCGATATTTGAAAACTATCGATAGTATCAGCAGTATCGATAGTGTCATCGAAAGTTCTCCATTTCTAAGATAGCAAAGGAAAATATAAAGATATAAAAAAATAGTGTAGAACTGTCCAGCAGTTGAAATTAAAATTTTACAACTAATTTATTTTAAATGTAAGTAAAACTTATTAAAGTTTTTTACCAATTTTTGTGCACTTTTACATGCATTTTGTTTGAAAATGTAGTATAGATAAAGAAGAAGGTTTTTGAAAAATGGATTTGCCTAGCTTAAACGAGTATAAATTAAGCTGTGAACTATTAGGACACAGCATGGATGTAAGAACAGTGTGCTGTGTGGATGATAACACTATTATATCAGGTTCGCGGGATAAGACAGTAAAAATATGGCAAAGAATTGAAAAGTTAGAAAATATAATTAAAGTTTGATATTCTAACTAAAGTATTAATATTATTACATATTACTTTATAGAGACAAATTTGACGTCGTCGCAACACACAGCAGGCACAAGAACTTTGTTGCATGTGTGTACTATCTAGAATCGGAAAATTGGATATGTACTGGAAGTAATGATTCAAGTATTCTAATTTATCGTGTCGGTTGTGCGAATCCATTTGCTGAGTTACGTGGTCACGAAGATACTGTATGCAGCTTATATAGAGCATTGGGTCAAAAAACTATTATATCAGGTAGCTGGGATAAAACAGCGATAGTATGGTCGATTAACGACGATGGAACCTTCACGTATAATACACTGAAAGGTCACACAGCTGCCGTGTGGTCAGTAGGTTGTTTTTTGATGTTAGAAAAATATATCACAGCATCAGCTGATAAAAATATAATATTTTGGAATACCAACGGCGAAAAATTACGAATACTTAAAGGTCATACGGATTGTATTAGAAGTTTAATACCTTTCGAAGATGGATCACTTGTAAGTTGTGGAAATGATGCAATAATCAAATGTTGGAGTAGCGAAGGGGATTGTATACGAGAACTAAGTGGACATACAAATTTTATATATTCAATTTCAAAAAATCCAAATTTGGGCGAACATATTTTTGTATCTTCTGGTGAAGATGGTACTGTAAGACTTTGGAGTCTCGCTCACGGTCAGCTTGGAGAAGAATTAACTTTGCCTGTACAATCTGTATGGTCTGTCGCTTGTTTAAACAATGGTGATATAGTGACAGGGAATAGCGATGGTGTTGTAAGAATATTTACAAGGGACCTTGCCAGAACGGCTGAGAATGAAAAACTGAAACAGTTTCAAGTAGCAGTGGAAACAATAAAACTTGAAAAACTCCAGACCATTGGTGGATATAATAAAGACAGGTAACATTATTTAAATTACTTAAAAACTTTGAAAAATATTAAATTTATTAAAGTTTGCCTGGGCCAGATATTCTTACCAAACCGGGAGCAAAGGAAGGACAAACTAAAATGATTCGTGAAGTTGATGGTAAAGTCTCTTGTTATATTTGGGAAAATAATAATTGGAATAAATTGGGTGATGTTGTGGGTGCATCTGGTGGTTCACAAGCTAATTCTGGAAAAGTTTTGTACATGGGCAAAGTATGTACTTAATTTTTGCAAGATATACAAGAAATTTACAGAAAATTTTTAGGAGTATGATTATGTATTTAGCGTAGATGTTTCTGAAAACGAGCCGCCAAAAAAATTACCATATAATATTGGTGAAGATCCATGGCTTGCAGCACAAAACTTTATTGACAAAAATAATTTACCTCAAGTTTATTTAGATCAAGTTGCGAATTTTATTATTAATAATTCTAACGCTGAAACTGTTGAAAAAAAAGTTGTGACCGAATATCAAGATCCTTTTACAGGGGAATCTAGGTATATTCCTGGAGTAAATGCGGAAGCTTCAAGCTATAACTTTCAGAATTTTATATCTGCAAAACCTACAGTGAAACATTTTCCAATAACAACTTTTTTTACATTAGATACATGTGATATTGGGAAAGTGTTTGACAAATTACGGTAATTTAGAAAGGTGACACTTATAAAAATATTTGCGGAAACACAGTTACTGCACGTTTGAGTTATGGAGGAACATTTCCAAATTTAAATGAGTAATCCACAATCTTTGAACATAAATTTAAAATTAGTTTTTAAAGTGCCTTACTAATTTTGTTCCCGCTTCGTTTTTTTAGCGTCGCTTATTCAATAATTACATTCTTTTTTAAAAACATATTGAAAAATTTTTATATTATTTTAAAGAGAATTTAATACGCAAGCTGGAGCTATGAAAGTCAGTGAGCAAACATTGAAATTTATAATAGAATTGGTTGATAAAAATGAAAAAAAGCCATATAATGTTGAATTATTAACCGATCTTTTATCTTGGCCTGAAGGTAGTGCTAATTTTTAAAAAAACAAAATTAATGTGAAATGTAACTAAGAATCGATTTTTTAAGATATTTTGTTTCCCGTATTGGATATAACACGTTTAGCCATACGTGATGAAAAAATTTTCTTTCAACTTAAACCAACTCTATTCATGGAAAATATCCTACGAGGACTTCATTCAAATTTACCGAATCAACTCATGACAGTACGATGTTTTGTTAATCTTATGGGTCATCCATTAGGACGAGATTCTATTGAAAACAATTTAACAAGAATTATAGATGGTGTGAAAAATTTGAAAAAAGGCAGTAGTAATTTACAAATTGCCATTGCAACATTTTACTTGAATTTGTCAATTACTCAAGTGCAGGATAATATCACAGCGCAAGATAAGTGTGGGATTATATTTGAAGGCGTTGTGAGTTTTTTAGAATGGGCTACAGAATCGGAAGCTTGGTACCGTTGCATGCAAATGTTAGGGAATTTATCTTGCACTAATTATCGTCAAATACTTCTCGCTCAAATAATTTCTGTTGATTATGTCATCAAGAAAATTCGTGAATTAGCCAATTCCTCACCAGAAATTGGTTGTGAGAAGACCAGTGAATGTGCTAAAGCATTAATTTCTTTATTTTAACAGTGAAATCAGTTTTTCACTTGAGCTATTTTATTTTTACAAGATTTGTAAAAAATAAAAGAAAATAAAGCGCTTATTTATAAGAAAATTGTTTATTAATTAATTCTCATGCTCGAAATTTAACGAAATACATTCCTTTTGTTGCCTGATTCTATTTAGAAGATCTTCCTTCCACTGATTTTCAGATATTTCATGCGCCCATTCCGGAATTGCAGATAATGGTAACGTGATATGAGCCATTGCAGCCATTATCTAATTAAAATAATAGAAATATTTAATAAAAAAAACTAAAAGAATGTTACTTGTTCCGTTTTCGAAATATCAAGCTCCATTTCCAACTCTTTAGGACGTGGATTTTTCCAAACTTTGCTTTCAAAATCTAATTCTGCGTTACCAGCGTCACATGATGAGCTTGGGCCTACTATTTGCTGATTTAATTGTGATTGATGCGTGTCTTCTAAAAGTTCTGTACTGTTATGATTCTCTGCTTCAATTTCATCTCGTTGATCAGCAGGTATTCGATGATATCCTGGAAATCAATTGAAAAGCAATTGGTTCTGATTGAAGTTTTGTTATATTTCACAAGTTTATAAACTTTTTTTTCAGTTACGAGTACCTTCATAAAAATTATCAATATCTCCACTATCTTCGCTATATGTAACAACATCTTCTGAATGAAAAGTATCATCTATTCCATTTTCATCAATGTTTGGTGAAGATCCCATGGTCAAAAATTTTCATAACACAAATAAAATATGTTAATACTAAAAAAAATTGTTAGCAAAATGTTACATCGATTATGATGTTATGATTATTGTAATTTCTTAGGATCATACATACATTATTTAGGCTTTTATTTACGTATTTCGTTTCTTTGACTTATCGCATATGAATAAATTATTGCAATTGATAAATTTCAGCAAATCCAAAACTGGAATGATAATAAGTCTCTACTATGTTATTCCTAGTTATCCAGTAAATGGTTATTTTCAGTTTACAACTGTGTGCAATTGTCATCAGAAAAATACAATTTTTTTCTACAATGAAATGAAATGACACTATAAAGTCAAAAGATTTCGCATTCATACCAGTGCTACCAGGTGTGTTTTTAAAATTTAGTAAAAAATATTTTATTCGTAGTTTTCCATCATTAATCTACATTTTCTCAAAAACTTTTTCCATTTAAAAAAGTGTGTACAAAAAACTTAAATAAAAACTTTAGTCAACATATTAAAACGTTTCAAATAAAACTATAAAAATTTTATATCATATTTTATACCTCGAACTATAATTTTTCTGACCTTGTTCTACTAACATTATATGTAATTGCATTAGTAAAAAATTACGCACTCGATTTTTTTATAGTTGGAAAATAAAAAATTAAATAAAAAATAAGCGAGAAATGATGAAGTGATACACTAATATATACATATAAATCTCACAGCTTTGTGATATATATATGAACAGATTTCATTATAATTATGGGGGGTCCCTTCATGAGATGAAAAATAAAAAATATTAATTTATTGACGTTTCGTCGTGTAGACCTACATCGCTGCTGCCAATTATGTCAAAAATCTTTGAAAAACTGTTGTACAGAAGATTAGTTGCCACTATTCAACATCGAAATCTAATACCTTCACATCAATTTGGATTCCGGGATGGTCATACGACTTTTGAGCAAGTACATCGGGTAACCAATGAAATTGAATCAGCTCTCGAAGCAAAACAAGTTTGTACTGGAGTCTTTCTTGATGTGTCGCAAGCCTTCGATAAGGTCTGGCTGGAAGGCCTAAAATTCAAAATTGTAGTAGCTGACAATGTCAATTCATCAACTGAAAAGGCACAAGCTGCAGTGGATGACGTTGTTAGCTGGGCAAAGAAATGGCGCATAAAACTGAACGAGTCTAAATCCGCACATGTGAACTTCACAAACATTTCAACACTCCCGATCACAATAGACTCCAAAACAATACCATATTCGAATTCTGCAAAATATCTGGGTATGACTCTGGATGCGAAGGTAAGATGGAAAGAGCACATAAAAATGAAAAAGGAGCAACTAAATATAAAATCAAGAAAACTAAAGTGGCTGTTGGGCAGTAATTCCGAACTGTCTATCCACAATAAAATCCTAATTTATAAACAGGTTCTAAAACCAATATGGATTTACGGAATCCAACTCTGGGGTTGTGCGAAAAAAACTAATGTGGAAATTATTCAAAGATTTCAAAACAAGATCCTTAGGCAGATTGTTGGCGCACCATGGTATGTTCGCAATGATGATCTACACAGGGACCTTAAAATTAGTAGTGTTGAGAGTGAAATCAAAAGATTTGCCTCTAAACATGAAGAAAAACTCGTTAGTTTTCAAAACAAACCATCAAAATGAGGAAGCGAAGAAACTGATACATACTGGCAATGAAGTGCGCCGTTTAAAAAGGACGAAGCCACATGAACTGGCTCATCAATAGTTTATAAGTCGTTATATATTTATTAGAGTTAAAGGTGTCCTAGTCAAAATGTATTTTTTGGTCGGAACAAAAAAGAAAAAATAAAAAAAAAAAAAAAAAAAAACTAGTAAATAATAAGACTCGAGCAAGTCTGATTTCTTTTGGAACATATTGCTTAATAGAAATGCTATTCAAGTTAAATGTGTATTGTAAGATTTCAACAAATTCAAATAAAAAATTTTTAAAAAAGTTCTAAAATTATGTCGCTAAAATATTGTAATATTATTTTAATTTTTTTTGTTGCAACATCAAAAATCAGAAAATCCTTAATCAAAGTCTGGTGAAAGTTGTACGTGTAAATACATCAGACAAATTTTGTTTGCAAATACTAGATAGCGTTATTATCGTTCGCGAAGCGAATATTTACCTGAAACGAATGACTTACTCGAATATTCGCGGAATGATATTTTGGTCCACGAACAGCTGAATTCACTAGGAAAAACTCGTTGCTACCGAGATTTAAAAACAAATGACTTTTGAAGTTATTAAAGTAGAGTAAAGTGAATAATGTAGGTTATAAAAATAAAATAATTTGCAAAATATTTTATGCTTCATTGATGTTTTGACATTTTTACTTTATGTAATAAATATAATATGTTTTCATCAAGTATTGCGATATATTCTATTGTGATGAGTACAAAAGTAATAGTAGTGAAGACGAACGCTACTATTGCTTTGTTATAAAAAAAGTATTTTTCTTACATACAATAGATGCTATATGCATGTTATTTATTAAAGAAGTTTTTTTGTTCATTTACCTTATATATATTTAAAAATAAAATTTATTTTACTACTAACTATAACTACCTCTATCATAATTATAAAATAACATAAACTATCAACTGAAAAATGAAAATCACACCTAGAGAAATATTCTCCCAAAATAATTTTATTCATTTCTTTAGGCTTTGTGGTTCGCATAAATCTTAATCAGATATGAAATTTATAAACCAGATTTAATTTAAATCAGATTTGCAGTCAGATTTTTTAAATGTAAAACGAGACAATTAATTTTTTGTACGTGTTTGAAACAGCGATCAACCCAGATATGTCAAAAATTTACCTACGTTCTACAACGTCCTACATCAAGAAATCAACTTTTTACTTAAATGGAAGGACAACAAGGAAGGCAGCACTTTAGAGGAAATACTAATCCTTTTAGTAAATGCAAATTTTATATTAGCAAAATATCTCAGCTTGTAGTGAGAAAATGATTTACAGGAAATAAGTAAACGCTCTGATGTAGCTAAAAAACTAAGACTATTTAATAGATAAAATACGTCTCAGGCATCCACACGGTTGAAGGCGTGCTAAAAGGTAATAAAATTGTCAATCACTAGTCTATTTATCTGGCAAAATACCACGATAAGCAAACATTCTGATGTAGTTAAAAAACTAAGACTATTCAATAGATAAGATACGTTTCAGGAATCTATACGGTTGAAAACATGCTAAAAGGTAATAAAATTGTCAATCACAAGTTTATTTATCAGGCAAAATATCAGACAAAAAAATCGAGTAATGCATCTTCGCCATTAGTCCTAGGGACATTCACCCTACTTGAGGACTATTCCTGTATGGAAAATCGAAATCAGAATTTTGGAACCATTCCCGTGCGCAACAGAAATTTCAATCATTCAATACTACGGTACCGGTGAATCAAATAACGAAGAGGAAAGTTGTACTCGCAACCCTACAACTAGCAGCAACATCTATATCCCAAAAACTTGTACAAGGCAATAAACTCCAACTCCGGCAAGACAAACACGTCGAAAATCTCCAGTAGCGATGAGCATAGATGGATTTATAAATTTAAAACTTATGAACAAACTAAAAGAAATTTTCCAACGAATCAACAAGAACTTTTTACAGCTTTTTTCATCAGAATCAGATTAAATCGTTGAAATTTGTCGAATGTGTAAAACGATGTAATCATTTTGGTAATTAAAAATTCAATAAATTTTGTAATTTGTTTGTTCTTTGTAACATCTATTGTTACTGGAAATTTTAGTTTAGAAAATATTTTTTTATTCAACATAGAAAATTGGAAATTTTTAGGTTAATATACATATTTTGATTACTGTGAAATAGTATTAAATTATAAAACATATGTATACAAATTATATTACGTAAATGGAATGAATCATTAGCTATGTATGAACAGTAGGTGCTACTGTTCGTATCAATATTAGATTAAGCGCATACATAGTACATACTATGCACACGTATGTACGTACATATTCATGTGTATATAGGCATACCTCGTTTAACGCTACCTCTTTTAACGCTGTTTCGTTATAACGCTCTTTTGAAAAAAAAATTTTCAAAAATTATTATATCTCTTGGAATCACCAAATGTAAATATTTTATGTTGTCACATTAAAAAAAAAAAAAAATTTTTTTATTTCACAATAATCGAAATTCTAATGAAATAATTTTTATTTGACTACAGTCGCAATTCTTAAGAACTATTACATGTTCAAAGATTCTTAAGAGAGAGATTATGTATATTGTTTTTTTGAGAGTATGTTTGGAAAATAATCTAGGAATAATCCAAAATGCTTTAAAAGATTTATGTGAAAATGATCCCAATTATGAAAGGTCTTGTGCTATAAAACGAGGAGTAATGAATACTTTATCACCCTACATAGAACTCTTAAAGGAAAAGAGAAAATTATCAAAGCAATTAAGCTTAGACATATTTTTTAAAAAAGACAATTAAATATGAATTTACCTTTATTTTGTGAAATGTATTAATGTATTTATTTAATTTTATTGAAATTCTTATTTATTTTTTAATTTTTAAATGAAGTATAAATGAAATGAAATTTTTTTCAAAATAAAAATATATACAAACTTATTATTTTTGGCTTGAAAAAGTACCAAAAAAAGTTGGTAGTAACGTAACCCTATATTTTAGTGTAAAATATAGGGTATATTAGTTTCTGTTAACGCTCAACTTCTAGGAACGCATCATGAGCGGTAAACGAGGTATGCCTGTACAATATTCTTTTCGTTTACTATACATACATAGGAGCTTGTTTACTATACATACATAGGAGCTTGTTTACTATACATACATATAATACTATAAATTTACTATACATATAATTTTGGGCTTGTTTAGAAATTCTCCTTAGCATCACTAAAAATATAATACTACTTTGTACATAATATGAAAGGAGCTTCTTTTCAAGTTTTTTTTTTTTTTTAAGGAATTTCTCAAATTTATATTTATCATGGGAGAACGATCTCAATTTAAATATTTTTTAAATGCTTTTGTATATTTACAGATGTAAATTGTTATGCAGCAAATATTGCGATTCGAATACCGAATCAATTATTATTTTAATATCGTCGAGTTCCTGCTTAAGTAATTTTATTTAGATTCAGTTCAGAAATTTATACATAACTTAACTCAGCGTTTTAAAATCCGCATTGTTGTTTTATGTTAACAGTTTCGAACATTATTTTTTGATATATGCATGTATGGATGCGGTCTAGAGATGAATGCGGTTTACATATGACCACAAATTTGTTAATACTATGTATGTATATACATATCAGCCGATCGTGTATCTCCCTTTTTTACTCGCTTTTTATTCACTTTCGAATCAGAATTCTCAGCGTTTTCTAATGAATATTTCACTTTATCAATAAGACAACTCATTTTCTCCATTAGATTTTTGCATTTTTTCTCAAATTATCGACTGAACATCTCACTTTCAAAAACATAGTGAATAAATTTTGTGTAAAGTTTAGAAAAAAAGAGATTAGCAATACCGAATAATTCGTCTCACTGAAAATTACATTATATAAAAATATAATACATAGTTACTCACTCTCTTCTCACTTGCCGAGTAAAACAGCGGGATAGACGATCAGGCCTTATTTGTATATTAAGACAATAAAAAAAGAAGCGCTCTTTCAGATTAATTTTTGCTTTGTGTTTACTGTCTAAAATTACATATGGTGGTACGAGATTTTTATGATGGAAGTAACTGACCATACATTGTCTATGCTGAAAAGACATTGTGTTCAAAATTATAAACATTTCATTATCAAAATAAAAGTATTATAAGAAAGATTCACTGATTTTAAATTCGCGGCTATGCAGTATTAGTCACAATTAAGATACTATAATTTGTAGCATTCAGTTGCCACAACGTTTCCAAGAGTATCCATCTTCATAACAAAAACATCTTCAGCAACGAGAATAGAAGATTATTTATTTTTTTAAGACTGGGGTGGCTTAGCTGTTAAAATTTTTTTAAAAGCAAAAATTTCTAGGGCATTTGTTTTTACACAAAAGTCTAAAAATTTATATTTTTTTTTACAGAAATTGCATAATGTTTTAATTTCCATATAGTTAGCAGGAATAACTAGTTAATAATTTCTGCTCGTTCACAGAAAAACCTTCTTGAATTTTCATTTCATCATCATTAGTTTGTGTTTCAGTAGAGTTCCTCAACTCATATAATTCAATTCTAATAATTATCAAAAAAATTTTTCTTGAAAATTTTATTTTTCAGAGAAATGTTTTAAGATATTTATAAGAAAAATGTCATTATTCAATTAAATACGTATTCTTCCATATATAAGGCAACGGAAAGATTTGTTTTTTTAGTTTTCTTCTATTTCGCGTTTATCGTTTTTATTATGTTTCATCATTTTGCCTATTATTGTGTTTATTTTATTTTATAAATTTTCTTTATATTGTACGAGGAAAATTCGTAATCGCAAATATTCTTTTATATGTAAACATACATACACACATATTAAGTTATAACAAAATTGTATAATGATATCTACCGATGTTATACACACTGTAAAGCGACATATGTACACACACATGTGTATATTGGATCGATCGTATATTGTTATTTTAGTTCTAGCTTTAGTATCGAGGCATTCAAGGCGTTGAACTAAATTTTTTTTTATTCACTAATCAAGTGTTCCAGAAATATGTGTATTCAATACAATTCTATTTAATAAAAGTTGTATATTGCAATATTATCAGTGGTACTATATACAACATAACTATACTCAATAAATTACACTATATACATATGTACATATTTATGTACATATTCACATACATGTGAATATTTAAGGATAAAATAAGGTTTATGTATAATAATATAATAGCAATAAAAATAATAAGCCAATTAAAGAAATACCAATTGTAAATGTACCTACATACATATACGTTCCTACATTCATTAAAATATACATATATGTATATACTTATGTATAATGAAAATTGATGAAAAGAAGTGATATCATAATTAATTCTCTCCAAAAAAATATATTATTCATATACGTACATATCTGTATTATATAATATACCCATATACATATACATTAATTTGGATGGGAATTACTATACGGAACTTATATATATGTATATACATACAATATATGTACATTTTAAATTTAGAGAAAAAACTTCTGATCAAAAATAGTACAAACTCTTTATTTATTTTAAATACCTATTCATGACTAAAGTTGATTCAAACAAACTTACACATGTGGTTACATTATTAAAAAAATTTATAAGCGTTGATACAATAAAATGCGTATATGTATGTATATTATACATTTATTTTATTTTGGTAAATCAAAAAAAATAAATCTGAAACGAATATAATATGTACGTGCATACATATACATATATATATATGTGTTTATTTTGAAAAATATACATAGGTACAATATTTTTTATTAATAAATGTACATATGTAATTATGATTGAGTAATTTTTTAGTATCAATGTCTGAACAAAAATATTTGCATATAATTACATAAAAATAAGTCTATGTAGGAAAAATGTTGACTATTTAATAATTTGTTTTTAATGGTTCTTTTAAGACAAAACTTTCCGGAGTTTTTTTTGAAAAACTCTATTTTCAGAGCCTTTCAAGAACTTTCAAATTACTTATCAAAAAAATAATTGGCTTTTAATATAATATAAATGTGATAAAAATAAAAATGATAATTTTTAAGTAAATTTGTAAATTAATTGAGCTAAGACGACATTAATATTAAAGAAAAATAAAAAACTACTAAAAATTTTTAGTGTTACTGAAAAGTGAAAACCAACGAAAAACGATAAATACACGTAAATATACACTTTTATGTATGTATGTACATATGTACATTTCCATGTGTGTAATTCAATTAATGAGAAACTGAACCAAAATGTAAGTTTAAAAAAAGTGAAAGTTTTTGTAAAAAAGCATCAACATTAAAACAAAAAAAAATAAAGAATATTGAATATTATCAAATTTATGTTAACTTAAAATAAAATGAAAACGGCACTGTCAAGTACTTAATCCCGCAAAAATAAGCAACCTATGAACTAATTCCGGTAATTGACAATATTTTTACGCAGTTGAATTAATTGAATCTTAAATGAGATTAAGTAATACAGAGTTAGGGAAATACCAGTGAGGAAATTTTAAAAACTTATGTTGTTAAAAGGTCTGGTATAATAGAGTTTTAAAAAACTTTATAAAGTTCTTGCATGCAAAGCGTGTAGGATAGTACATTTGGACAAAAATGAGAGAAAATGATGACGTTTTCTTTTTCTCAATGTTTAAAATTTTTTCTAGTTTCGTAAAATAAAATTTAGTGTTTTAAAAAATTTTGAAATCTTACAATCGAAACATACATATGTACATATGTTTTCCTTGATTATGTCAAAAGGTTTTATTTTTAAAAAAAAAATTTTAAATGTTTAGTAATTATTTTGAAATTTGGCGTTTATCACCTATTCATAAAAATTATAAAAGTTTTTTCCGTCTGGTTTACTTTTTTTTTTAAATGAGATTTTTTTTTCTTTTTGCGAGAAATAACGTTATGGTTTCTGTTTTTAAAGATTTTTTAAGTTTTATACCAGACAGTTTTTTTTCTATATAATACTTTGTACTTAGCAGGGGCTGTCATAAATGGTACCACGGATAAAAAGATGGTGGTAAATTTTTTTCTTTAACTTTGAGTACTTAAGTCAACTCAACTCAATATAAAAATGTGTAAACTAATAATTTTCAATGTAAAATATAAATATTCAACTTATAAATAAATTCAAACTTTATTTATTAAAGTGCTGAATTAAACATTTTTTCGTACTTTTCTACATTTAATTGAAAATATTTAGAAATATAAAGAAAAAAATATAAAACAGATAAAAACGGTATCTAGGGGACAAAGGTTTTATAACAAATCTTTAACAAGCTTTAAGTACCAATTTCAATCAAAGTATAAAAACAAAGAAAGTATTCGAATTAAAAACATTTCTTTTATGAGACAAAAAAAATTAAAAAAATCGAATTTTTTAAAATTTATGACGTAGTCCAATCCGAAAGTTTCAATTTCAATCAAAATTTACGGGTTTAGAGCTCTGTTACATAGATACGTACCATTATTTCATAGAAGTGAAAATGTTACTGGTATAAAACTCAGTAAGAGTGTCAATCAACACAATTCATTGGATCAATGGAAAAAGATTGCTGATTATCGCTAAAGCAAAATCTCGTCTTCACACTACGGAACCAGATAGAAAATGTTGCAAAAAGTTGGCAAAAGATTGATTAATTAATTATAATGCAAAGGTCATTAGTTATCGATACTTTTTTAGGCGTTAGTTGAAGTCTTTTAATTGTTAATCCTGTAGGCTTTAGGTTTTATTTAATTGTTATGACATCTTTGCCACGATTTCAACCGCGACCCGTCTCTAGAGTCGAAAGCTTCTACGGAATAAGTGAATAAGTAATTAACGAAGCAATTATAATACAAAATAAACTATAGGATTTTTAACAAATAACTCAAATTTTAACCTTTCCTGTAAAGTATTTATATTATGTAATTTATTAACAAACAAATCTGCGATATATGTATATATATAACGTATGTATATATTGTACGTAAATAGTATTTTTATTTTAAGTATGTAGTTGTTTTGAAATATTACATTAAATCTATAATTTATTCATCATGTAATTTTATTTTGCATTTTTTTTTATTTTTATTTTATTTTAGTGGTACATATGCATATGAGCAATTGGCTTAAAGAACTTGGGGTTTTGACTTTATAGAAAAGAAAAGAGAATGAAAATATGAACTATAACAAGTCAGAATTAGTTGAAGACCAAAGAGATAATGCAAAATCATCAAATAGAAATAATAACAAACAGGTGATAAGTTTGCACAGTATGATTGCATAATTATATTTTTATGTTCATGTTTTCTTTTTTGACAGGATCTAAAATTCAAGAAAGTTTATTTATGTACAGGGTTTTACGCATAAGGTGGCAAATAACTTCAGAGATGATTCTTTGATCAATTTCCATCAAATAATTTTATGGTTGGGGAGATGTATTTTTCGCATGTTTTTTAAACACATTTAATCTGAATTTTTTCAGTAAATTTTAAACAATTTACTGAAAAACTTTGAGAGATAGAGGAAAATGTTTTAATTAACTTTTAGATAACACAAATACTCCAGACATTTCGAGTTAAAAAAAAATTCTGACTTTGAATTGGATTTATTATTGAAATGCCCCCAATGGCATTTATTTATATTGCTCGAAAACGACTACATTGCAGTTGTATAAAATATTTTTTATAAAAATAAAATGTATTACTGTAGAAAATCTGCAAAGTCCTAAAAATGCCAATACTTGACTATTTATTGTAACGAAATCACAAACACTTTTCAAATTCAACAAACGTAAAAGGAGTCAAAATTATTGTTAAAATATTTTCGTACCACTCCCCACATAATTTTCATTCAGCCTTTTAATTTTAAAGTACTGAAAGGTATTCTAGCCTTTTAATTTTAAATGGCTGAATGAAATTCTTGGCGAAGTGAAAGGAAATTAAACAGTTAAATAAATGTGTTAACATAACTAATTATACTTTTTGGTAGCATGGCATTTACTATTAACTTTCCGATTTTATAGGAATTTGTTAAAGTTTGCAGTTTCGGAAATATAAGACGCCGAAAATACAACTTTTAAAATGTTCTTGTAGCAAAATCAATTATTTATTGCTGTCTAAAAGTTGCCAAAATTTCAAAAAGTGAAAAAAAAACGTGCATGTAATTTAGGTATCATATATACATATGTCAATTTTAACGATTGACGATCACTTCCCACAAAAAAAAAAACATGATCTTTGTGTTGGAAGGTTTACAAAGATTTCCTTTTGCCATTTCCACAGAACGTTCCTATTCGACTTACTCCTTATTGGTGCTTTCGTAAGACTGGTTAACCAGGAGGCGTAGGTCGTCGGATGCTTCGTCCAACTGTTGAATGGACCCTATGTTCAGATCGATCCCGGATATGTCTACCTTACCCTCCTCCCTGTATTTGGAACAGTCGTTCCTACTAATCAGATAGAGAATTTTTGTCAGAGGCACGCCAGTTTTTTATTTGGGATGTTACAAAAGGACTACATATGATAAGATCTAAGACCTTCTAATAAGTTGTTTTTTAACAAAAATTCAAAGAGGTTCTCACCTCTTAAATTTGTATCGGTGTTGTCCCATACTGTGCGATGCGTATTAGCGTCACAGCCCAATATGACCTATCAATCCTAAATTGTAAATCCGGCGTAACTATCCCGTTTTCTGGCCACATAGTTGAATACAGACGTGAATGGTCCCGAAGCCATAATCGTTGAAGTCACTGGCTGAAGATGTAGATGTTACTAGCGGCATGATAACCACGTTTGTTGCACTGCAGTCGACTCCCCCCGGAGATATCCTGCGGTGATGACACAGTAGTTATCGTTGGTGGCACTGCGTTCTTTAGTTCGTCTTTATAGTTGTTTTCGTCTTTGTTGTCGGCTGGTACCCGAAGTCCGCACAAACAGAGCTCGATCGCCTCACATTTCACTCACCTTTTTGCCATCGCCGTTACCAGAGTGAACGCGTGGAGGTGACACTACGGTTTTATACTCCAAAATATATAATATATATATATGTATATCTATATCTTAATATATATATATCTTTTATATATATATCTTTTTTAATGAAATTTTCGTTTTATTGTAGAATGCATAGTGTAAATATAGTATGCTTGTGCTAAAATTTTGTTTTTACTTACTTTCTTATATTTATTATAATACGAAAAATATATTGGCATAAGAGAAAAAGCCGTAGATAACTGGGAGCTTATTAATTTAGATTAAACAAACTAAAGCCTCTTATGTTGCATTTTCTTTATATTCCAGCAGTCATCGAAATTACAACTTCAAACCTCAGTTATACCGACATTTTTTCGGTGGTTCAAAAAACCAAATCTTCTTAAACATCAGCAGTTTCATAGTGGTAGATCAGCCATCGAAACAACGTCCCGTCTTTATGATAATAATAGCACAGAATCACTAAATTTAAATTTTGAAAACTATTCAGGCAATTCTTTATCACCCACCTTGAGTTGCGATAGCGTACTCAGTACGTCGACAACAGGATTCGCTTTTATTAAACCAAACAAATATGGAAACTTAGTGGAGGTAATGTATTAGTTGTTCGTTTTTGTAGTTTTTGTGAATGAAATTATGTACATATGTACATAAACATATAGCTTCTGTTAAGAAAATTTATTTATATTTTGCTTTTTTTTTATTCCAGCCAAAAATTTTGTCAAATAATCAATTGGAAAGTAATTCAATTCGATGTGAAAGTAAGAATTTCGACCTATTGACTACAGAAATTAAAGATACATGTAAAACAGAACCAAAGTTAACATTAAAGCAAAAATATTTTTTATTTGAATCTGATACTTTAAAATCAAGTAAGTCCGTAGACGATTCCACTACACAATTATCACCATCCAAAATATATTCTAATTATGATAACTTATCTTGGGTTACCGATGAAAGTGATTTAATTCAAAATAAAAAAAATAATTCTTTTGGAGGAGGCAAAGAATTATCTGAGGAGTTGTTTGTGCCAACTAGAAGAAGCCGTTCGCGGCGAACAGTTAGCGATAGCTCAAAACATATACACTCTGGTGCTTATGTTCATGTAAAAGGAAAGCGAAAAGCTCCACATCCACCGTCAATTACAAATAACGTCGAAATATTTTCGCAAACTCCGTATTTGCTTGACAAATCTACTACCGAATCAACTGGAAATAACTGCCAAACATTGTCACCAGTATCGACTGGAAGAAAAAAACGAAAAGCACCACCACCACCACCTATACTAACTAATTTCGTATCAGATAACGTGAATATTGAAAAGCAATATGATAAATCATCATTTTCATCCAGTGAGTCATCTAGCTTAATTATAAAAAATAAAAACATAAACAAAATTGAAACGAAAAGAAACTATTGTGAATCTTTCTCAAAAACAGATATTGTCGATGAAGGACGTAAGTATAATGCTGAAGCTCTTCTAAGTCAACCTGAAATTAAAGCTTGTCAAAATATTTGTGATCCAAGAGATCGACTTAGTACGGATCGTGATAACCGAAGGTCAAAATCGAAAAACCGAAATACAGCTAAATCAATTACATCGCTTACTGCAAAAGAACAAGAGTCGACCAGTCCTATTAAACAATTTATAGGTAATAAAAAATCAATTAATAACACTTTCGACATAAAAAATCACTTACTAATGCCGAATAATTCTTTAGAGATTTCGAACGATACAACTTCACTAACTCCACCCCAGTCACCAATATCACTGCGACCGTGGTATAAACGTCCTATTTCAATGAATAGAGAAAGCGTAATTCCATTTAGGCGAGAAGTGAAATTAAAAACTATGGAAAAATCTAAACAAAATGATTTACCTGAATCTGGACTGCCTGAAGTGAGTTTTTCGCGGTATTCAAATTTTAGTAGTCGCAATAAGCTTCATTTATTTACTCGTCAAAAAGATGTTAAAAATTCAAAGAGTGAACAACGTTTTTCTAATATAAATATACCAAATATTAGTGAACTTGATCGTGAAGCTGCTGCAATTCTAATAAATGAGTCAAAACCATTAAATTGGGTAGAAAATCAAACATATAATCCTCCAGATCATTTGAAGCTAGACCAGAAAATGCTTCAAGGCACAGGTGCATTAACCAACAAAAGTGAAAATTTGGTACTTTCTAAAATTACAGGTAAATATAACGATGGCAGTGATTACGCGAGTGCAGAAAGTCAACAATCCGCAAAAGATTTAATAAATAAATTTGAAATGCAATTAGAAAGACCCAAAGTAACAGTCAATTCTTCGTATGTTGCTAAAACTGAGAGCTTTGTTGGAATTGCTACCTCTAGTAATAGTAGTTACCCTGAACCATGCTTGATTACAAACCAAAGCCCTGGTTTTAAGTGTAATTCCAATTATGTAAACGATAAAACTGAAGCCGAAACTGAATACTCTATACTCGACTCACATAAAAAATTAACATGGTGTTGTTCTTACTGTACATTAGAGAATCCAAATTCCAGAATAATTTGTGAAGTTTGTGAACATTTGAAATCTTTTGAACATTGTTTAGAAGAAAAACCTAAAACTCATGTTATCAAAACAAGGGAAAATATATCTGATGAATTGCCAAAATCAATACCTACTACCCCACAGAATTCTAAAACGCCTGCCCAAGATTGGAAATGGAAAGCTGAAATTGTAAAAAAATATTTTTCAAAGCCGGAGAATGCAAGTGCAGGATCAATCAAAACTTTAAATTTAGAATTAACTGTTGATAAATCTTCAAGTAGTTTTTTAGTTGATATACCTGAAACAAATACCAGAAAACAAATTAAGCAAGATATGCTGTCAAATGAAAATTCCAATAAAAATTTGATTCAACATCAATTTGATGAAAAATTAGATGTGGATAAAAATAGCGAGTGTCAGATCAATAATAATGACCTTAATCCAATTAATTTTGAACAAATTCGTATGACCAGATTATTGAAATTTAACATTATTACTCCATCAAATATTGAATGTTTTACAAATATTCAAAATAATGAAGAAAAGGAAAATATTTTAAATGACCCCAATTTACTAGAAAAGGAAAAACAAAGATTACGGGAAAAAATTCGTGCAATGAATGCAAAAGCTCTGGCTGAAAAATATCCAATTTTGAAAAAAAATTTATCTATAGGTGATCCGTGTGCTGATACACAAACATCCTCACAACAAATGTGTAAAGAGTTTTTAAAAAAAAATGAAAATCCCACTTCTTCAGTAACCAATTCAAACAAAGTTGTGAATTCAGATTTTTTTTTGTTGAAACCCGAAAAAAATCTTAACGAAATTCAAAGCAATGAAATTAGTTCAACAAAAGGAACAAAGAAATCTTTGAATGAAGAAAATGGATTAAATATTTTAAAGGACGAGGTTTCAGAAAACGAAATCAAACTACAAGTTAATGAAATGGATGTTCTTCATCAGACAAATGAGTCTAGTTTTAATCATAAATCAGGAGCTGTTAAAAAAATTTCATCAAATTATATTTTTCCTTTAGTAAGATCAAACAAGGATGTTAGAACGCAGATAAAATCTCCGAAAAACAAGTCAAGCAAATTTAACAGCGATATTTATATACAGGAAAATAAACCTGTTAAAGTCTCGTCATCCTGTCAAACATCTGGTTTAATAAAGAAATCAAGTGAATATGACAGCAAAACAGAGACTTCCTTGAACGCTCTGATTTCGCCGATCAAAAATTTTAAATTTAAAAATGATGAAGTAAAATTTAACAGTAAAACAAGTTACAAAAACAATGACGAAGATGATGCTATTATTTATAAAGATTTGTCCCATCTGGATAAAGAGCAAGTTAAAGAAATAAGTAGAAAATTAACTTCTGCTGAAGGACGTAGTAATTTTAAAAGGAGTTTAGATAATGGGAATGTAAATGGAATTAGTCACACAGATACTCTAGTTTTAAACAAAATTTTGCGAAATTTAGAACAGGCTATTAGTGAAGGCAAACACGAATTAGCTGCTAAGTTAGCAATGGATTTAGCTAAAATGAAAGTATCACTCCATGTTACAAAGTTAAAATCACAAAAAGCATGTTCATTTGATTGCGATCTCAACCAAAATTTCATGTGAGTAAATTAATTATATGCATATTTACATAAGATGATTTTATTTTATTAAATACATAAATATTTACGCATTTAATTTTAATTTTATATATACTAGATATACGACGAAGATTTACAACCAACTTATATAATATACCGTTTGAATTATGACTGAACTTTCAGAAAGTGAAAAAAATATTTTTTCATTTGTATGAAAATTTCACTTTTTAGAAAGTTACTTTTTAAAATAGTATTTTCTCAGATTTCCTAAATTTAAAACAAGGTAAAAGTAAGAAGGCAACTTCAAAATTCTGCAGGTTCTCAAAATCTTTCCTAGGAAGATTTTTCGACTAATTTTGAAAAATACTTCTTAAAAATGCGCGCAAAGCCTTACAACTTCAAATAAATGTTTTTTTTATTTATTAAAGGAAACCTAAATAAAATTTTCATTTTTGAAATAAATTTTGATTTTCAACCTTAACATAAATACATACATACATTGTGCATAACATGCATAACTTTTTATAAAACAAAAAAAACGTAAAATACTTTATAATTTTGGTTCTAATTCATTTAAAATTATGTTAAATTTAAATTCTTACATAGTGTATACTATATGTATATGTATTCAAATTAGTATATTTATTAAGTACTTTTTAAATTTTATTTTAGACCCCATTGATAGTTGATCAACATTTAGCAATATTTTTATTTTCAGAGTGGACATGTTCATTGAAGATCGAATATCACAGAAAGGTCCAATACAAATATCTGTAAATCCATTAATGACAGTGGAAGATCTAAAAAAAAAAGTTTTGCAAGACTATAATATTCCGATTCAGTTACAAAATTGGATAATAAATGAAGAATTGCTATATAATGAGTCTTTATCGTTGTTCGAGTGTGGTGTTAAAAATAATTTGGCAAATTTATATCTTTACATATTGACACCACCAAAAGAAATAAAAGCTTGTGGAGTTGATTATAAATTCACAATTCCCAAAACCTCCAAAGCGTTTCAAGAAGACGATTTCAATGATCAAATCAACATAAATTCGTTAAAACCATCAGATAACTGTAAAAAGGGAGATAAATTAAAAGACCATTCAAATACAGAATTAGTGGATAATAATAAAACAGAATCGGAAAGTTGTATGCGATCGAGTTCTTTAAATACTAATGGTGACACTGCTCCATGGAAATGTTCCTTGTGTACTTTAATTAACAATCCGTTGGTATTATCATGCTCAGCATGCTCAAAAGCGAAGCCTATAACGAACTTTGAAAAATTGTCAGTATCAGAGAAAGCAAGCACATTTCTTGTGGATGATACCCCAAGTACGTCTTATTCTGTATCAAACACCAAAAATTCAAAATCATATCCAAATAATTCTCTTTCTACAACGAAAACAATCACCAGTTCGAGTTACACCTGCAATGCCGCTACATCAAATACATCATTGTCACATAATAACTTTAATATAAGTGATAAAGATAGTAATGAGAAAGTTTTATTCCGCCCAAAAGAACAAAAAAATGATTTAAGTAAAACTAATCCAAGTCGTAAATCAACGGAGCTTTACAACATAGTCGAAGAGGATAAAAAACCAACTCCGAGAAGTGTACCGAAAGCTCAAGTGAATGCAACTCAACAACAGCACTCTACAAACTTTTCTAGTCCAAATATCACAAAGAATAAATATCGAGGGGTGGACAATTTCAATCCATATAGAAAAGATAACGATATATTTTTGCAATATAATAATTTTGAAAATAACAATGTAATGACAAATATGAATATAGTAGCTCCGAAATCAACTAGTGCATCTTCGGTAGATCTAATAAATAAAAATTTTAAATCTGATCGAACAAAAGATTTTGCATTATTGAAGTCGCCATATTCAACTAGTCATTACTTAGAATTAGTAAAACTACATAACTTGGACGTTGTACGAAATTTTGAGCCCTTTGAATGCCCAATATGTTTCGAAAATATCGAGCACGATAGTGGCGTAGTGCTACGGGAGTGTTTGCATACATTTTGCAAAGATTGTTTGGTTAATACAATTATATTTAATGAAGAAGCACAAGTTAAATGTCCTTATATGGACACTGTCTACAGTTGCAATAGCTTTTTGCAAGAGCGGGAAATTAAATCTTTAGTTACAAAGGATATATTTGAGAAACATTTAGCAAAGTCAATTAAATTAGCTGAACACTATATTGAAAATGCATTTCATTGCAAAACCGCTAATTGTAGAGGCTGGTGTATATATGAAGATAGTGTGAATGAATTTTTATGCCCGGTATGCAATTTGAAAAATTGTTTGACATGTGCGGTACGTACTTATAGTTTTTTACTAAGTAAACAGTACATATTTTTTTGATATATTACTAACTATAGTTATTCTAAATTTGTTAAAAAGTATTGCAATACGGGATAAGTGACAATACGTAACTGCATAAAATAAAATTTTACAGGAGATAATAAAAACTATTTAATATACATATGTAAATTTCATTTTTATACAAAAAAAATAATTTATATCAATCGCATTTTATGTTTCTTAAAAAATTTTGAAAAAAATAAATAATACTTTTTAAGTTTTTGCACTTACAAGTTGTCACAATGAAATTTGTATCAAAATTTTGTTATTTGCATGGTGTCACATAATATACTTTTTAAACAAGTTGATAATTTGAAATGTAGCGAATTTAGATTTGCTTGACTTTTTGATCTGATTTGACTAAATAGAAAAAAATATTAGTAATTTATTAACAAATAACAATTAATTTTTTAAAATTTGTATCAATCCAATTTTTATTTCAAAGAGTAATTTAGAACTTAAGTAAAATAAAGTCAAATAATTCATTATTGCAAAAAACAAGAAAACAATAAGTTAAAATAATAAGCTAAAAAAATTAAAAAAACAAAATAAAACATTTATAAATAATAAAACAGAAAAGAAAAGTATTTAAACTTTATGCGGAATATTATCATAATACAAATGGTAATTTTTCGGAATCACATTTTTCAGTTCTTGAAGATGATACCACTTTTGATTTTTAATGTTAAATGGGTTATTGTGCAAAACTTCACAAATGTTTAATTTAAGTAACGCTAAACTTTTAGCACCTTTTAAAATAGCGTTAGACAAAATATAACTTTTATTTTGGTAAACACAATTACAGCTCCAAATAACGATTTCTTTATTTTAAGGACATTTTTCCGACAAATACTCAATAAGGCAGGAAACAAATGTACTGGCACTTAAATTAGCCTACGTTTCATCAAACCAATAACATTAACATTTTTTGTATATAAATCTTGTGATACATTCCTTTTTGGTAATAATTTGGAACTAATTATGCCCTTATAAAACTAAAGTGGGTACAATATTCTTTTTTTTCAGGCCAAGTTTTGACCAGAAATATTTACGCAGTTCTCTCCCTTCCCCTTCGGTTATTTGATTACATTTAAATAATTTTAAAGTTTAACTGTTTTCGGACGTACAATTCTCTTTGCTTTTCATTGTTCTTGTCTTGCCAGCCTAAATATTATTTGCCTTCTTTTCGATTCTTCTTATTTATAAAATCTTTTATTTTTGATAGATTTCGTTTTCTCCTATTTTATGCTAAACTATTAGTTTCGTTTGAAACTAAGGTTTCTAAGCTATGTGATTTTCCACTTGAAGAAGAACGTTCTTTATTTTGCCCCTAGTTTTTAATGAATATGACATTTTATCTTTTTCATATTCATTTATGAAATTTTGTTCCACTGGAAAATGTAATTTATTATTTATTTTCATCTTTAATTAAAATATTACTAAAATTATTATTGTATGTTTCATACAAGTCTAAATCTATAGTTATTATTTGATCTTAAACTATTTCACACATTTCCGAATCTCTTCCGAAGATTTCGTCGAATCAATAATCTAAACTCATAATATTTTTTGTTATTTTTACAAAATATATTGTTAATTTTTATAATTATTAATAAAGTACTATACGGTAGGCTCGTCACCTACCTAGTAAACTCAATAACGTAAGAAACTGGTTCATGGCTATCTACAATATCGTGTATCAGCCCTCCTCCAAGGAGCAAAGTAGGAATAAAAAAAAAATCATCACCATTTCAACGCAAACATTAATTTGTACGCAAGATTAGTACAAAATATTCTTGTGACAACTCGTAAGTTCAATAGGGGAATCATATTTTTATAAAAATAAAATTATAGTGACGCCTTGCCTATGATTTTACGAGCTGTCACTATAATTTTTACCGACCGTATTGTGTATACAATAGGTAGGTCATGTGATGGCAACAAATTTTGCATATCGAGTTTTCAGTGGGAATGTACTTCTCCATAGTAGGGAAGTGTAAGTAAACTATTTTTAGCAACGTGTCGGTCCGTCGGTCTGTCGGTCTGTCGGTTTGTTGGTCTGTGTGTGCACGCGTGTATCTCAAGTTCTGCTGAACTGATTTTGATGAAATTTTATATGTAAGTTTATTTCCACCATGGCACGGATTGATCAAGTTTTGGGATATATCAGCCCTCGGGAACTGCACTTTTTAGCAAGCCTGTTTTACATTTCTGACCATTTTAAAGAAAATACTCAACCGATTTGCTTGAAATTTCATACGTAAGTTTCGCTCGACCGGCCGCGAAACCTCCTAACTTTTGAAAGAAATCAGGCGTCGGCAACTAGACGTTTACTACGGGCCAAATATACATTTTTGTGTATATAAAGAGAAATAACCAACCGATTTAATTGAAATTTAATATTTGAATTCTTCGTATTAAAACAATGAACATATAAATTTTTTGGAAAGATCAGGGCTCGAAAACTGATCTGCGGGCCGATTTTACATTTTTCACCATATCTACGGTTCTGGTTATTACCGAAACTAACTGGCGAGCATTTCAGGGAATTCGGGCGGCAGAAAGCCAAATTCTACTAAATGCCAAATTTACATTTTTCTAGGTATGTTAACTATAAACTTACTAATGCCCTAAAAATTGAAAAGAAGTATTTAACGGTCATTTTTATAATAGACCGTAACACTTTCACTATACTAGACAATACACATTACGGTCGGTTATGTGCTTATCGCATCAGATTTTTTTAATAAAAACGGTTTTAAGTAATATTTCAAAGTTAGTGAAATTAAAATTAATTTTATCGCATTAAAAAAACTGTACTAAACAGCGAATTAAAATACAAAAACATTTCCAATATTTAGGTCATTAGTAAGCTTATAGTTAACATACCTAGAAAAATGTAAATTTGTCTCTTAGTAGAGTTTCGCTTTGTGCTGCCCGAATTCCCTGAACTGCTCGCCAGTTAGTTTCGGTAACAACCAGAACTCAAATATCAAATTTCAACAAATTCCATCAGGTCAGTTTTCGATCCATGATCTTTCCAAAAACTTTACGTGTTCATTGTTTCAATACGATGAATTTAAATATTAAATTTCAATGAAATCGGTCGATTATTTCTCTTTATATACGCAAAAATGTATATTTGGCCCGTAGTAAACGTCCAGTTGCTGACACTTGATTTCTTCCAAAAGTTAGGAGGTTTCGAGGACGGTCGAGCTGAGCTTATTTATGAAATTTGAAGTAAATTGGTTGAATATTTTCTTCAAAATGCTCAAAAATGTAAAGCAGGCCCGCTAAAAAGTGCAGTTCTCGAGGCCTGATATATTCCAATACTTGATCAATACGTGCCATGGTCGAAATAAACTTACATATAAAATTTCATCAAAAACGGTTCAGTCAAACTTGAGATACTCGCGTGCACACACAGACCGACAGACCGATAGGTTGCTAAAAATAGTTTATTTACACTTCCCTACTATGGAGAACTGCATTCCCACCGAAAACTCGATATGCAAAATTTGTTGCCATCACATGACCTACCTATTGTTTACACAATATGATCGGTAAAAATACGTATATATACATATACATATTTTAAAAAAAAGCGTTGCAAAACTAGAAAGTAGCTTATTATGGAAAAATTAACAAACTTAACAATAAAATTCACTACCAATATTTGTGTAGCTGATGTAAAGAGAAAAGTGTAAAAAAACATAATTTTTTTAAATAGTTTTTCAACAAAAGTTTATTTGTGTTACTTCGCAAATTTACAAACTGTTTCTTTCATTTGTTAATCTTGTTGTCTTTTTCAGAAACCTTACCATTTTTTTCAAGTTTGATTCTTAATATTATAGGACTTAATTCTAAAACTTGAAAGAGTAATTTCAAAGATTCATTATGCTACATATGTAGTTAAAATGCTTTATTTTGTATTAATTACATAATAAAATTAATATAATGAAATTTTTCCCATCCAATTTTTTCTCCTTTTGGAAAGTAGTTACTCATAATTAATTTCTCTCCAATTCAATTATTTTATTAAGAGCCTGATCTAATTGTGGATCTCGCATTTTTATTCACTGGCTGCCAAGATAATGCGAGAGAATCGCGCAATCGTTTTTTAAAATTTAATTTTCAATTAGGAAGAATTTTTCTGTCGTGAATTCGTGTAGCGTAACCCGTTTTTATGTAAAACTCATTATGTTTTTGAAAGTGACAAGTTTAATCAACATTTCTAAAAGAAATGATGACTTAATTGTTTAAATAAAAAAAATGAGGATTCTGATTTGAAAGAGCTCAAAGAATTAGACTGAAAATGCGAGATACATTAAGACTGTTAGTTTTAATTTTTTGCTGCGTATATTCTTAGTTTTATAATTAATTGTATGTATTTCAGGCGATTCATGATGGTATAACTTGCAAACAGTATCAAGATGGATTAAACGATTGCGATAACAATGAAAATTCAAAAAGAACTAAAGAAATGTTCAGGGAAATGGTGGAAAAAGGAGAAGCACTCAATTGTCCAACATGCCAGGTATACATTTTGAATATACTATATACATAGTTAGAAAACTATATAAATAATACAAGTAAATACAAATAAATTTGTTTCATTATTTCCTTTTTTTTTTCTGCAAACTCAAATGTACAAAAGGTTATAATGATGAAAAAATGGGGATGTGATTGGTTAAAATGTTCAATGTGCAAGACTGAAATTTGTTGGGTTACAAAAGGACCCAGATGGGGTCCTGCTGGAAAAGGTGACACTTCTGGTGGATGCAAATGTGGTGGTATGTTTTCTATTTAAAATTTCATAATGTAATGAAATAACCTACTAATGTGATAATTTCTTTTGTGGTTTCTAGTAAATGGAATAAAGTGTCATCCAAAATGCAATTACTGTCATTAAATCAAGAGTGACTTTCTCACGAAAATATTTTTGGGCATGTTTCAAATTTATGCCTATCTATTTCCAATTAAAGTAATATAAAAATAATAAATAAATTTTAAAACTAGCCAATCGTTTTTCAGCTGCTGCTATACAAACATACATATATTTACTTATTTATAAATCTTTATAATTGCAAATGTACAAAAACAAACGCAACATTTAATTAATAAAATGTAGGTTTATATATTTGCACAATTTAAATGATCTCAAGTGTAGCATAAAAGGGAATTAAATCTGAAAAAAATTATATGTACTAAGTTAACAAAACATAAAATTTAGTACCTATCTCTCATATTCATTTATTATGTATTTATATTCACATAATTAATTAAAACAATGAAATTTCCAAATTAATGTCCTTGGAATGGGTTAATAAAATTTTAACAAGATTCTAACTGAAGCTCGTTAATAAATCTAAAGCTACCTCAACACAAAAAAAAAATTAACAGATAAATATAATATGAGGAAACATGAATAGAAGTTATAGGAGTTTTTGTTGAAAATTTTTCATATTATTAATTTGGATCACTAAAATATTAATTGTAGTTATTCAAGACCTAGAAATACTTATGAACTAGCTCATTTTCTTTTTAAAAATACTCTTAGAATATTCTGAACTCTCAGTTATTCAGAATATTACATAGAATATGGCACAGTTATTTTGAAATATGCTTTTTTATTATTATTCGTTTTTTTCTTCATATTAAATTGGTATTTTAAATATAGAACGATTTTTTGTGCAATTAAAATTACTTCAAGAAAATAAAATTGACTTGCTAGCTTTAAATTTTTAAAGCTGTCGTACCCCACCTAGCAAAAAAGTCTCAATAATTCATTTTACTAGTTAAATGAATGATGTATAAAAAACCACAAATCATACAATTTTATCCTATTAAGAATGAATTTAAATCACTTTTCCCTTTCTGAACAAATTAAATATGTACTTGATATACACACCCTTGATTTTAAAAAAGTTTTTGTAACTTTAATTGTTGTAGTATACTTTTAAATATTTATTGCCACACTTACTTCTTGTATCACACGGAGGTATAAAAAAATATTGCTAAAAAAACAGTATACTTCAAAACTGTATTTCATACAGATATTTTATTTTGAAAACTTTTTGGATTCAAATTATTTTTAATATATTATATAGTAAAAACTTCATCAATGATTTAAGTACATAATTGATAACATATAGTGTTTGAAAAAATTTGTTTAAAATGCAGATAACCACGTCTAATATATATTTATGTATGTAGTTAATATTGTATATTATATTTTTAGCCTTTTCGTACGGAGGCTACGAAATTAAATGTACGTATATACATACTTATAGAGTATGTATGTACGTATAAACATATGTACGTATTAATATATTTATATGTAGGTACATATGGAATTATACATATATAAATAATTATGAACAAAAATAACATTAAATAAGATACATAATACATACATATGTTCTTATATATTGTTTCTGTATTTAAATTAAATTCTTGTTAGCAAAAGCTTTTTGTTTACTTATGTTGTTTACAATTAGAGTCCTTTTACGAACATCAAGAATTTATTTAAATCTTGATGTTCGCTTCTTAAAATTTTTTTATGAGCACTTTCGTATCAACCTGTTATGTGTACCTGTTTTTTAATTCATTCATTTATACTAAAGGTTTAGAATGTGTTTTGGGCATTTAATCCCTTTTCTGTTTCCTGCATTGTAAAATTATCAAATCAAATGCTCTTTGGTGTCTCTTGTTTCTTAAAATAATTTTTTTTCAGTGGTGAAATAATTTTATCTTTCGTACTTAAAGAAATTTTCTAACCCTCAAAGTATGTATATACAAACACATAAATGTTCCTACCCGTTAAAAGGGCAAAATTTTCCTGATATTTCCTGCTTGACTGGATCATTATTATCTTTACACTTTATAATAAAGTGCAAGGAAAAAATACAAAAAAATTATAATAAAATACATCTTTACGTATATACTTACATATACACATATATATAGGTTGTTCCAAAATTTCAATTTTTCAACTTTTGTATATTAATTCCTTCTTTTTCGTGTCACTTCATTGACATACATACATACACAATTTAAAATTTGAAATTGAGAATAACTTACTTTTGGATATATAACATAATTTCAACTTCATTTTGCAAAATAATAAAAAGGAAGAAAATAGTTATTTTCTTCCCTGTATTATTAACTTCCTTCCTAAAATTATTAATGGATTATAAAACTGTATAGCAGGAAAACGTTTATTGTGTCGATTAAATTTTTGTTTGGATTTCTTATCTGATCTTCAGAGCTTAACAATTTCTTTAATCTGCTCTTCTTCTAATTTAAATTTCTTAATAGCATAAAAAATAAGGAAAAAAATCTAAGAATATAGGCTTATTGTTACTGTCTAGCAATTAAGAATAAAATTTTGAAGAGATTATTGATAGTATTCTCCTTGCCAGCAATTTTAAGAAAATTAGAATTTAAAAAAAAAAAAAAACAGTTAGTATTTACACTTATTAATATAAGACTAAGAGCATAACAGTATTATGTACATACATATATATTTAAGGATGCAGTATTTAGTATAGAAAACGAAATATTTTATTTCATATTGCTAAATTAAAAAAATTTATGGCATCTTTTGTACTTAGTGTTCTGTCTTTAGAATCTCTAACGTACGTAGTATTAACTTCAACTAAAGTAGTATTGATCTAAAATATATCTTAGTTTAAAAAAATCTGTAAAATATTTCGTATTTTTTACAGGGAGGGGGTGTTTTATAATATTTATACATACATGTGTATGTACACGTACAGCATAAAAATTTTCAATCATAGTAAAACCAGCTACGGTTGTCGTGTAACCAAAATAAAAAAATACATATAATTTTTTTAAAAACTTTGTTTCAACAAATTCAAAATGTAAAACACATTTTGAAAATTTATATATGTATGTGTGTACCTATGCACGTCTAATAATGAACTGTTTATAATAATAAAATATATAAAACTTTTCCTCTCCTTACGAGTATATCAAAAAATTCTATGTAGCATGAATAGCATAACTTTTTTGGGCTTTAAGTATTTAAAAAATTTTCTTGTAGTATGTACATACATACATACATAATGAATAATAAATCAAAGATTTTGACATTCAAATTATAAAGAAACAAAATTATTTTTTCAATATCGGCTTTCTTTTATGACTATTATCTCTTATCTCAAAATTTTTCAGAGAATTCTTCCATGTACGCAACTGAATTTTTAACGAAATTTAATTATAAATGAGAAAAAATAGAGTTGACCTTTTCAACTCTGTGATACCCATACGAATTTATTATCCTATGTGCGAATAAATATGCCATAACTGATTATGGGACAGACTATGACTTTAAGTTGCGTGTATTACGATATTAATTTATGCAAAATTTCAGTACTATGTTTTTCAAAATATTGTGTGTGCCAAACTACTATTGAAGTTGTATGGCAGCTGCCAGAAAGAGCAAAGCAATTTCAGCGACTTTTATCAAACACATTGGCCCTACTAATATATTCGTTTTTGTGAAATTTCAATACCACAGCTTTTATAGTTCCTGAGATATAGCTAAGTAAATTTTGAAGTTGTATGGCAGCTACCCGAACCAGTGCCCTGATCAACTCAGAATTCGACGCTGATCAAAAACAAACATTTGAGTCTATATCTAAGACCGTTATTTTTAGCGTTACAAACGGTAAGGCAAATTTGGTATACCCTTCGAACATACGTTCATTCGGGTATAAAGAATAAATACATTTACATATTGTATGCTTTCAGAACGTTAGAACGAGAGTATCACAATAATTTTTGGACTACTTGACTTATATAAGTTTATATGTATGTTCATGTATAGATGCATAGAAATGTATCTGCTTTCAAATTTATATTAATTTTAATGCGATTTTATTATCATTTGGAAATAAATAAAGATAGACGTTTTTACTTACATATATACATGTTTATACTTCTAAAATTTAATCAGTCACTATTTTACTCTTAGATAAAATAGATTTTTAATTCGCGATGTATTAAGCTCTACGTATATCACTTTTCACTACACTACATTCAATATATACTATATATGTATACATATGTATTTCAACCTATTTATGCAGAAAACTTAAAGGACTTAAATTTTATATGAATTATGCCGTACTTATAAGATATATAACGAGAACTTTCAAAAGTTAACAAAAGTTAACTTAAAACAATTGTAGTTAAATATATAACATATGATACATTCATGCAAAAACTTGAGCCGTACAAAGGTATCTTAAGGCCACTCTAGTTAGCCCTGTTAAAATTTGATTTGATGTGATCTATCAGAAACTAAGATATGTATTTATTTGTATAATTGTACCTTAAAGCATTCTAATGTTCTGGAACTTTACTTTTTATTGATAAAATATTTCATTAAAAAACAAGTAAATTTAAGGCTTTTCCGTCGGCATATTTTTATCAAATTAAAAATATATTAAAATTTACTTTATATACATAAACAGGATGTTTTGCGTAAGCGCGCTGATAATTAATTTAAAAGCCATAGTTTTCGAGATACAACTCGTCGAAGTCAGAATTTTTGTTTTATTTTTGAATTTTTTTTTCAAAACTCGAGATTTCTCAAAAATTTTTCTTATTATTTTTTTTTTTCGATGCGCTTTGATGAAATCTAAAAGTTAAACGTGTTAAATGTGTTCAAAAAACATGCAAAAAATGCAAAATGCATTTTTATAAAATGCACAAAAATGAAATTATTTGCTATCTTATGCCAACACCTTATGTATAGTATTTGTAGTAGTAGAACTAACTTATGTGCTCAGATAAAAAAACATGCAGCATTTTATTTTGCATAATGTATTAAAATGTATTAAATTAAAAATAATTGAATAGGTAAGATAAATCATCTTACATGCAGGTATTTAAATAGAAAAAATACAAAATAAAATGAAAAAAAATTATTTTTATTGGAGCTATTTGCAATATTCGTAATTTTGATATACATATAGGTAAATACAAACATACATGTATGTACATGCATTTAGATCATTTTTACGGAAAATCAAAATTTAATTATGTATTTTAATCGATTTGTGAGGTTGGACTGAATGTTGTTACAGGGTAGATTTTAGAAAAACAACTGATTTCTTCTTTGTTTATATTCAATGAATAAAAACAACAGATGCATTTCATACATACATATATAATGTAGGCATGTACGTATGTACTTTTCAAATCTGTAATACTAAATAACTTAATAATTTTTAAATTACATGTCAAATAAATTTTTAGCAATTGTCAATTCCTGCCGCAATATTAATATAAACAGTAGCTGTTAACAGTAGTATTATAAAATTTTAATAAGTAAATTTAATTTTAAGAAAAATTTTTATTTAAACCATATATTTAAATTATATTTAATGAACAAAATATAATATAAATTTAGTTCAATATAAGTCATTAAAACGCATCCTTCGCTTTTTTTAATCTTTTACTTAAGAGTTAGTTTTACAAAAGTTATAATTTTTATATATAGTTACTTAATACATAAAGACATTATGCTACCGTAAAACTATCATAAAAACGTTAATTTTAATGGCTATCTACGAGTATATGTTGAAATAATTTTACATTTTCATCACGTTCTTTTCTTTCATGCCTAATTTATGTCTCAAGGTATGGTAAGCCTTATTCTGCATTTAAAATGTTTTTTTTATATACTTATGTATATAAATATAACACACTTATTATTGTACATAATATATAAATTTTTTTTCTTATGTTGTAAGTGAAGTTCCCGTGCTTTATAAGGGACGACATTTTTCAAGTAACAAATCAACCTTAATAGGATTTTTGCACAAAAATGGTAATTGACGTCATGTTGTCACCTGTTTTTGAATTAATTTATAGAAAATATTATGGGGAATTAAGATCAATATCGAAAAATGAGGAAATTTAATTTTATTTAAAAAAAAAAGTTTTGTATATGTATGTATGTATTATATACAATATCACGTTGTATTTCAATATCAAATATTCAATTTAGAACTGAATTATTTTATTACACAAAAATTTTAAATTTAATTTTCTTTAAGGAGATATCGGATTCTTCTTAAGATTACTATTTTTTCATTATAATTTCGAAATATATTTTAATTAGTTTTGATTATAATTATTTTGATTGTGTGCAAGTATAATTATGTAAATATTAACAGTAAAAATTATATAAATGCATATTAGCTACTTATTGTGTTTACAGAATCTCAAAAATCTCTTCACTTAATATGATAGAACTTCTTATACGAGTAATTAATTATCTTTAATATAAACTCATAAGGAAGGTAAAAGGTTATGCTTCGTTAAATAGTTTTTAAGTAGTGAAATCTGATTAATATAATAATTCATCCACTTAATTACTACTTAAAAAAGTTTGACCTTTTGTTTATATCCTGGATCTATGATATTTTTAAAGTTTTATGTTTGGTAAATAAACTTTTATTTTTATTAAAACAGAACCTCTATTTTATGTAACCTTTCACTAATAAATCCACTAATACTCTGATTTTTCGGTAAGTTTTTATTTTCAATTTATAGAGCATCTTGCGTTATAAAACTGATTTGAAAATAATAATTTTAGCTATTTTATCAATTGAATAAATATCAAATTGATAAAATTTTATTGATATTTAAAAATACAATAACTTGAACGAAATGTAAAAATTTAAGTAATTATTTGCATTTTGGTAAAACTTAGGTTATAGTGAAATTCTTTTCTGTATGTATACATTATTATTTGTTTAACTTTGTGTATAAATTTTCAAATTGTACTTACATATGTATATAAACATAAATATATGTATGTATGTTTGTATGCAAGGTATCTAAAAAGAATTTTGAAAAATGAAATGATAATTTCCCGAATTCGTAACATCGCAATAAAATTTTTAAAATTAAATCTTAATTTGCGTTGTTACATATACATATGTATATATTTTGTGTATTATAAACATATGCACTTTATTAAATCTGATTTTGTTCTGTCAACTGTAAAAGCACTTCGACTTTCCCGACGGATTCCGCCTTGGTTTGAGGCTTAAGGTAGCTTACTGGAAAATTTTGCATTTGCCCAGTTTTCCCTTTCTTTTTTGAGAGACTCTAAATTATAAAGTAATTATAAAAAGCACATTGTTTTCGAAACTTTTTTTTGGTTTAATAACTTTTCAAATATTGATTCACATATATTTGCTTATCAAACAGTAACAAAATATGAAGTAAAGTCCTTGTGTCTGAACTCAAATTATGTCTGAAATTTGCGGTATTTATGTTGAATAGCTTATTGTGTCATCTTCTTAGCACATGTCTAAAACTACTGTTTAAACTAACACAGCCAATGTTGTAGCCTACTTTTGATAAAGTCAGCTCAAAATTTTTTTTGTCTTTAGTTTATTAATTACAAGCTATTGTGGAACTAATATTTATTACTAACGAAAATCTACGCGCTGGAATGCCGACGAACCAGTACAGCTACACCCTGTATAAGTTAATATGATAATTTATTTTAATGTACTGTTGACATAACAAAACTTTAACATTGATAACTACAAAGTAACTATTTGCAATATGTACATATACAAATTCATATATTAAACAAATTGCATGTTTACGTATGTATATAAAATATTCAAAAATTAACGTATATTATTATTTGAATCTGTGTATGTATATGTATACACATTCATTAAAGTTTTGTAAGCTTGCATTGCAAGTACACAAAAATCGTGCAGGCGTAGCAGGCATGTGAGCCTGCACTACAAGGGTGTTGATATTAGCTTTATTTTCTTATATCTCCGTATATGGTATGCTCCATGATATAATTATATTTTAAAATTTTTAAAATTTTTCAATAATTGACATGCATACATACATACAGAAAAGCATATTTTATATATTTACTACCTCAACATGGCGGCTTTCAAAACCCACTAATAGAGAATTGTTTTAATTACTATAATCCTTGCTATTTGAAAAGTGTGATATTGCAGAAAGCCTTACAAACAGAATGGAACTCTAATCTTTATAGTAAAAACGTTTTTTGCTCGAAAGTATATAGGACCAGCATCGAGTTGTACGAATTTGGGTAATTGCACTGATTTTACTTTGGAGTTTTCTTTTTATATGAACTTCTAATTCCAAATCTTAATTATGTATTTGTATACGTTATATAAATATGCAAATAAAATATAAACAAGTATGTACATTTTTACATATACATACATATATGAATTTATGGGTTTCCAGGCTCTTTTATTGATCATATTTTTAATAAGCGATGTAGACGTTCGAATATATGTACGTACATATTCGAACGTCTGTACATATAATATTATGTAGTAAGTATATAGTATGCACACTCGCATTTAATATGTTATCTCATATTCCATACAAAGTGTCTATCGCTTTAATATAGGATGTGGGCGTGGTTTTTGGAGCCAAATCAACTGAACTATGTTTTGAAAATTATGTACATTACACATATTTTATACATATGAATGTATGTATATATATGTACATACAAGCGCATATGATTTGAAAAAATTTTTGTTTTCTGAACGTCGGGTGTTTATAATTGTATGTAATTTACACAAAGTTTTTTTTTGGATTCAATTCATGAGTAAATTTTCGTAAATTAAGGTGCATATTTTTAATTTTCAATATTTTTTAACAAGTGCTTTAGAAGTTAAAGCTATCATTATTATATACTTTAAAGCTATGTAGTGGTGAATATATATTTATACCCGCATATTT